CGCAAGGTCCCGGGTTTGATCCCCAGTACCAAAAAAAAAAAAGAACATCATTTTAAGAGTAATTGTGGGCCGGGGATTTAGCTCAGTGGTTCCACTGGCTGCCTCGCAAGTGCAACGTCCTGAGTTCGACTGCCGGTACTAAAAAAAAAAAAGGGGGATTGGATCTCAAAAACTCAAACTACTCTATAATTACTTAATTACTATTGCTAAATTAAACCTATTAATTACTTTGCTAAAAAAAAAATAGACATATGATTGCCTATAGAACACTCTGTCAGGATAATTACGAAGCTGGTAGTATAGTTGCTTCTAAGAAGAACTGGTTATTGGGAAATTTACTTTTTACTCTACATTCTTTTCAAACAATGAAAAAAAATTTTGTTTGGGGGGATACCGAGGATCAAACTCAGGACCTTGCACTTGCAAGGCAGGTGTGGTGCCACTGGGCTACATCCCCAGCCCTCATTCTATATTCTTTTTTTTATTGGGGAGGGGGTATCAAACCTAGGGGTAGTCAAGTATGATATTACTGAGCTACACTTCCAGCAGTTTTAAGTTTCATGTTGGCTCATTTCCATATGAGAAAAGCAAACCAACATCCCAGATCTCATGCCTCAGTTTACACTTTTTTTCAGGGGGCAGGACAGTATTGGGGATTGAACCCAGGACCTCATGCCTTCTAGGCAACCAATCTACTACTGTGCTACAGCCTCAGCCCTCAATTTATACTCCCCATGTCCAGCACTGGGCCCAGCCTCCCTTTTTAAATTTAATTTTTTGAGCCAAGTTCTTGCTAAATTGCTAAGATGTCCCTATTGGGACAAACTTTTGAGGTGACCCTTTTGCCTCAGCTTCCACAGTGCTGGGATTACAGGCATGCACCACCACACTGGGCATCAGTTTATAATCCTAATGCACAAATCACATCATAAACAGAAAATAAACAATTTCAAATAAGCTCTTCAAAAATTCACACGTTTACTTACAGCATTCAACAGGTATAGAAGCTATCTGCAGAGAAAGAACTTTTCCATTGGACTGTGGAATGTGTACACGAAATACAAGTCGTACTCTAGTATTCTTTCTGCCAATATCAGTTTCTCCTTTTCGAAGTTCTATATCTGAATTGCGGAGTTTCAAAATACCGGCACAGTCAATACTAATAAGAAAAACACAAACAGTTTATTTTATTTTTTAAATTTTTATTTATTTATTTTTGTGGGGTTCTTTTGAGATAGGGCCTTGCTATGTAGTTCAGGCTGTTCTTTTTTTTTTTCCATTAAGTTTATTGGTACATTTTAGGTATACAATACAGTTACATACACCATTGGGAAGTTGTACCTTTACATGATGTATCTTG